AATTAGTAGTATATAGCGTTAACTAACCATTTATAGTAGTATCAAGTGGATCACATGCACATATATTGTGTGTGTGTGTGTGTGGGAGGGGAACTAAACAATTTCTGCTGTGAAAAGGAAACCATCTAACCTTTCCACTTTTCTGAGGCTTACTATCAACTAGTGAACAAGGTGAAACATAGCTTTATGTAGGCGGGTATTCGAACCTCGGGAACTTCGGCGTACATGACGAAACAGGTGTGCGCCAGTGGCACAGTGGTTAGGACTCTCGCCGACCATGCACGTGGTCCGGGGTTCGATCAGCTGCCGACGCACACCCGATATCTATGATCGGCCTGCAAAATTTGGGCCACCGATATCCATGCTGAAAATTCCATACTTGTACTGAAAATACGGTGTGGCATCAAACTGCAAACAAAAATATAAAATATACCTAGCATAACTATCCTTTATATATCTATCTATCTAACTGTCATCCTATCCCATCCTATTGTATGGTTGTGTGTAGTTGCATGTAGAGTGGTGCTACAGCTGAACTATTCTTTTGATTTCTTATCTTATTCGGGTCAACTAATCTAGATTTTGCTAGGTTTTTATGTTCGGCTAGTCTGACTGCCCCTGTTCTACTACTCTGACATATGTATTTGACCTGACAATCATTCCAGCAGGGTATTAGATGAACTAAATTGTTTTGTTTTAAAGGCTCCACAGGATCTTTTAACCGACAATGCTTGATTCTAATTGAATTTGTGGATGGTTTGAATGCCACTTTTATTATTCCTGCTTTGTTAAGAATTCCGCGTAAGGTTTCCGAGGTTCCTTCCTTTTATGGAATTACTACTGATGACTTAGATTCCTTATTCTCGGTGTTGTCTTGCGCACATTTGACTTGCATGTAGTCATGAATATTATGATTTTTATTAACACTATCGCTACTATCATTATTTATTTTATTTCTACATTTCCCTACATATTTCCTGACTAATTTATCAGGGTGATTATTAAGTTTCAAGGCTACTCTTATATGTATCACTTTTTGTCTTAGATTTTCCGTGGTACTACTTAGTATTTGTGCTCTGTCACTCAAACAATACACCAATCCTATTTTTACTGATATAGGGTGGGATGATCAGAAGTCGAAATATCTCTTTGAATGTGTGGGTTTCCTGTAAACACACTAGTGTGTTTAACTTCCCATCCTCTTTCCCTTTTACGCTGCAATCTAACATTGGAATCTCCCCTTCCTGACTTTCCTATTCATAAGTGAATTCAATTCACTTATAAGTGGTACCAAGGAAAACCTAAGACAGGAAGTGAGGCATATAAGAGAAGCTTTGAAACTTAATAATTACCCTGATAAATTAGTCAGAAAGTATATAGGGAAATGTAAAAATAAAATAAATAATAATAGTAGTGATAGTGATAATAATAATAATTACAATAATGACGACATGCATGTCAAACTGCACAGGATAATGACAACACCAATAATAGGGAATTTAAATCAACAGTAGTACTTCCATACTAAGAATTCCCATAAAAGCAAGAATAAGTGGCATTCAAACCACCCACAAATTCAATTAGAATCAAGCATTGTCGGTTAAAAGATCCTGTGGAGCCTTTAAAACAAAACAATTTAGTTCATCTAATACCCTGCTGGAATGATTGTCAGGTCAAATACATATGTCAGAGTAGCAGAATAGGGGCAGTCAGACTAGCCGAACATAAAAACCTAGCAAAATCTAGATTAGTTGACCCGAATAAGATAAAAAATCTACAGAATAGTTCAGCTATACCACTCACTACATGCAACTACACACAACTATACAATAGGATGGGATAGGATGACAGTTTTAAAATCTATTGTCACAGGGTGGAGGGAGACATTGATAACAGAAGCTTTGTTTATCGAATCAACTGCAAATACATGTAATAGGAATGATTCAACACCTGTCCACGCAGACAACTGGAAAATTCTACTACCCCTACGACCAATATGAGAAGACAAAGAAAACTATAAAACTCAAGTTTCGAAGTCGTGTGATTATAATAGATTAAATGATTATGAAAAATAAATTTTGTTCGAAACTTAGTCATCCAGTAAATAATAATACTGTTTCACCCTCTGTATGATACATCTTATAACCAAACTTATATGGAATTACTCACTACCACAGTACCCAAGTTTTACACATATATATTAATAGCCGATTACCAGTTCACCAAAATATTTGAACTCTGAACCGCATATCGGGAACGTCTCTGATGACATCCAGCCCTAAAACGAGTAATTGCAACCACCGTCCTCTGTATAGATGACTTTGATTTGCCTAGCTAGTATACACTACTAGTTGACTGAGAGTGGTATCAGACTACTCATATGAATTAATAAGTAGTACATAGTAGCATCATGAATGTAGCATTTTACAAATCCATACTGGTTTTTAAATCATTCAATTATATCGTATGCCAAAATTATTAAATATTTAAGGCGTGTTTCTAATATACACCAGAAAAAAGCACTCCTCGTGTTAGGGTGACAATAATAATAATATTAGTAATAGTAATAATAATAATGGTGAAATGAGCGTGAATAAATATTTGTTTATATCAACACTTATAGTAAGTATTTTTGAAATATTGGACATAGAATAAAGGTTTACACTAAAGTAGGTTAGTTTAAATCCGGTTGCCTAGCAACCTCGTCGAATTAACTTAAATAATCTATGGTTGACATTAACTAGATTGTATTACGACAAAATTCAACATGTATACATACAAATTTGTCACGGTAATTATAGCTTATTTGAAACACGGTTCGACACCCGTCCCGTCATCTGTTTCCAACTCTGTTGATGAATAATCTCAACTTACTCAATACCTAACATCTAGTTGAAAGAAGTGTCGAGATTAGTCCATTGCAATCTGAAACGAGGCAAAGCTGCAGGATCTTATGCAGTGACTCCAGAGGCGTTTAAGGACACCAGTGACAAACTGTTGTCTGGATGTTACCTAAGGTATTCAGTGGTGTCTGGGAATCAGAGATAATTCGGTTAGATCGGCGTAAATCATTGGTTGTTCCAATTTATACGAAGAGAGACAAGTGTTCTCCTGTTATAGTCGTCGGGGGGGGGGGGGTTGGGGGATTAGCTTGAGTTATATAGTATCTGAAGTTCTAGGTTCAGTAACTATGCATAGATTAAACCGTTTCTGAGAGAAACAAATTGGTGAAAATCAGGCAGGCTTTAGGCCAGGAAGAAGATGATCTTCAACTTTCGACAGATTCTGGGGCATACACATCATACTCATTAGAGTTCTTGACCTGAGGATGGCACTTGAATCTGTCAACCTGGATGTGGAATGACAATATTTGGCCATGAGAGACGTCAAGGAATTATATCTCATTAGTCGAGGAAATCTTGCCAAGCTCACAACATCTGTGTAACGAACCGCTTACGGGTAGCTGTTACCTGAAGTGATGACAACCGGTGGTGCTAATAATAATAGAATTGACTGTAGCTGAATTTAGGCTGGAAAAGAGTTAGAGATGATCAGAACAGAATGTGGCATCAGTCTACCGGTACTTAGTTTATTGAGGACACCAACTAGGCAGTCTATACCTGCCTACATATGATTAGCTCAAACCAACGCTCGGAGATTTTATAGATTGATGTTAGGTTTTCGTTTGATCGCTCCTTACTCGTTTCCATTCCTAATCCTATGTGGGATAACATTGTCCGTCGGGGAAGGCGCTGTTTCGGTACATGAAACATTTGTACTAACCATCTCAGTCGATTCATATTCACAACCTAGTTGATTGACTTACCCTACTTACCTAATACTCTATGCCTAAGCTCAGTGTTACCAAATGATACCACTTCATATGTGAGATAGAATGCAAACACCTGTGGTCAGACACACCTAGCACCTTCAATTTTTTCACCTTCGGTGGCCATTTCTCACAACCATAAGGGAGGACAGAGCGGACAGCTGGTCAGTACACTCGCCGTTTTAACGATAGCTAAATATATCACGTCTACGTCGAGGGTGAGGTCAGTCAGGTCTATTAGAGCTAGTGCATTTTCCCTAATCACTGAATCGCCCAACACGCTGCACCACTTATCTTTAAGCTAGTAGTGTTGGTGTAATTCAGCCCGGCAGCATCATCTTACCTGAATTTGACAGAAGTAAGTCGCATGCCAAACATTCGCAGATTGCTGCCTGTCAAGGTGTTCAGAAGACTCTGCATTTAAACAGGATTTTCATCATGAGCTGACATTAGTTAGAGAACCATTGGAAAACCTGGGAGTACTGGACAGCTGTTTCGTCCTAGTTTGGGACTCTTCAACAGTACGCGCACACCGGAATTCGTCTTGTAACCAGAAGGTCCTGGGTTCGAACCGTGGTGGTGGGTGCGTACTGATGAAGAGTCCCAAACTAGGACGAAACAGCTGTCCACTACTCCCAGGTTTTCCAATGGTTCTCTAACTAATGTCAGCTCATGATGAAAATCCTGTAACCAATCAAATCCCTACAAACCAACACTCTGCATTTTGTCAGCATCTTCACCTAGAAGGACTGTATAATCCGCATATTCTAAGTCAACGAGATTATTCCCTGATGGTAACAAGTCAATCCCTGAGTCGCTGAAGTCAGCAGTTAGGGTTAAGTCCATTAGTACATCTATGATGACATTAAACAGAAATAAGGACAGTGGGCATCCCTGATGGACACTGGTTTTCACCACTTCAGATGACAATTTCCCGTAGGCTCTCCCTGACTGCATGAGTTCGAGTAGAGTGTCTCGATTAGTGCAACATACTTTCTCAGTACTCTTTTCCTTTCATGACCAAACATTACCACAGCACCTACCTGCCAGTCAGCAGAATGAAGTACCACCTTCAGGCTATTTGTTGAGGATGTCAATAGATCTGTTGGTGATAAAAATGTCTCTAGTTGGAGAAAAATTAAAATAACCTCCAATGTTCTATTTAACTTACATGCTGTTGACGGTACAGGTGCAACTGGCGGTGGACCTTCAGTTAGAAAACGTGACAACTGGCAATCAAATTTTGCATTTACATATGGACTGTATGGGGATTCAATCATTCGAATATCTACTGGAGTAGTAGCAGTATTAGTAGTAGCGGCTACAGACGTTGGAGTGCTCTTCGGTTCATTATTATTATTATTATGATTGCCGGTTATTGGTAGAGGGCAGGATTTAGAATCTCCCAACCTGGATGCATCTGGACTCACAAGTTTAACAATTTCTGGTGTGTCAAACAGTGAATCAACATTATTTTGTAAGCCAACGAGTACACCGGCTGTTGTTTGTCTGGCACGAATTAAATCTGAGTGTATAATTCGATCAATTCTGAGGAGGAAATAAAAAAAAAGCACATGAGTGACAACAGAAATGCAGAAAACCAAGAAAAATACGACAAAAAAGAGACTATGAAAAATGAAGTGATACTCAATAAAATACCTACATTTACATTAAGTTGGCAATTATTATTATTATTCCCTTGCGTTCTGAGTGGAACATAGGGCTGGCTTCAACAACACATCTCCACTTTGCTCTGTTTTCTGCTGTCCTCTTCAACTGGGTCCACGATTGACCAAACTCTCTCATCTCCTCCTCCAACTCACACGATCTCCTCCATGTCATCGTCGCACTGACGACCCACTCCTCATTTCCCATTTGGATTCCACTCGAGGGCCTGGTGTGCGATGTCATTCGACGGCCTCCCCAATGTACACCCGACCAATCCATCTCCATTTTCTCCTGCATATTTGTTGAGAGATTGGCTCTCACCTGTTGGTTTATTCCCCTAATTTCTTGTTGCTTATTCTTTCTGGTGAGTATGAAGCGAGCGAAGGCAGCTGTTGGTGAAAGTTTGAGACCTGTTGGAAATCCTTTCCGTGACACGTTAGCCACGTTTCTGACTCGTCTAGATGCGAATCTTGTTCCTCATGCTGAGTGAAGAACATTTCCAAGCTGGTTTCAAGTTGATGAAGGCGAATCTAGCCTTTCTGATGCTGGCTGACTTTGACATATTCATGTGTTCCGACTGCCTATAGTTGAGACGATGCTTCCAAGATAAGTGAAGGAGGTAACCTCTGTTAAATCCCTTCCATTGATGGTGATTGGTGCTGGTTGTTGTTGCTATCGGTTGATTATCTTCATCACCTTCGTTTTCTCTGTGTTCACCTGCAGTCCTGCTTTCGCTGTTTGTTGGTTTTTGCTTGCCTGTTAGTCCTCGAGTTTGTGTGACATTAAACGACATAAATCATCTGCGAAATCCAGATCTTCTAGAGTCTTCCTATCGGCGGTCCAGCGTATTCCTGACTGCTCGCCCTCAACAGTCTGACGCATAATCCAGTCCACCACAATTAAGAATATCATCGGTGATCATAGAAAGCCAGCCTTCTATAACTCCTGTATGCGTTTCGATCACTTCGCTGAGTTTTCTGTTGTCTGTCTGTTTTCGACATAGAACTTTGCACATATGTGCGACAGTTCAAGTCGCCACACTCCATGTAGCACACAAAGCAAGAGAAGAAAGTAGAAGAAATGCATAATATAGACAGTAAACAGAGGTGTGAGACAAAGGAATAGTAATAACGAAGAACAAAACAGTTTAATTGGAAATCATAAGTCACAGGGAGTGGATGCATCTGCGCCAGCCATTGAGAATGATTTTGAGCCATGTCACCAATTGTTTCCAACCATAGGTTTTTATCGTCCCGAGGAACCCAACCAGGAAGTCTTCACCTTCCTACGTGGCTTGGACTAACTGTTGTAGATTTCATTGACTGGTGCCATGTTTTAGTTTGACCGCCCCTAGCTCTTTTCCAGCCTGACCCTATATCAGCTAACATTGCCGGTCGAGGAAGGCGATGACTAGGCATGCATGCACTACACATGTCCTAACCATCTCAGTCGATGTAATTTCACAGTCTCGTCTACTGATTTCCCCTCCTTACCTAGCACTCGACGCCTAACCTGTTTTAGATCACTTAACACGTGGCATTGTCATATAACTGCTGAATGAGGTTGACAAAGATTTGAGGTACCCCGCAGTGTTGAAGTAAGTTGGCAATAAGCCAAATTTATTAGCAAAAGGCCTGTCAAAAGCCTAGTGGCTACAACTTCTCTCATATCCACGAACTACATGTTTGATGGATAGCTAACTGATGAGTATACTTCAACAAAGAATTTCGTCACAAAGCGGCAACGGTTAAAGACCAGTGAAAACCAGACAGCAGAGTTGAATAGCTGTTTCATGTTAAGTTGAGACTTCTTCTGCAGTGCACACTCATGATCCTGTTGCTAGGGATTAAATCCGGCATTATTAGGTTATGAGATCTAACCTGTTAACCATCCAACCACTTGGGTCCAACAGTTTAAAATACATATTTCTTCAAGAAAAGGAAATAGTTATGTTTAGTTACTGTGGAGTAATTGATCTACATAAGTGAACGTAAGCTATACATTACAGAAATGTAAGGCGTTAATTAGCAGAGTTGCTTATTATTATTATTGTTTCCTTTAATTCCTAGAGGAACATAGGGATTCAGCCGTGCGTCTCCATTGCGTTCGGTTCTCTGCTAGAGTCTTCACCTGGCTCCAAGTCTGCTCACACGCTTTCATCTCCTCTTCACATGACCTCCTCCAAGTCACCCTTGCACTGACGACCAACTCGCTGCTTCCCTTTCGGGTTCCACTTGAGCAATGGCTTGTCTAGTGATGTCACTTGATGGTTTCCTCAGAGTATGGCCAGCCAATCCATCTCCATTTCTTCCTGACTATTTGTTTCACAATCGGTTCCTGCTGGGTTGGTTCGCTCATTGCCAGAGATCCCTCTTTGTTGCTGATCTTTTCTGACCGGCCATCTGATCTTGAGTATTGAGCGAAGACAACTGTTGATGAAGGTCTGTAGTTTGTTTGAGGTGCTCTTTATGACGCGCCAAGTCTCTGATCCGTATAGTAGCACTGACTGACTTCATATTGGAGTTGAAAATCCGGATCTTATTTTTGATGCTGAGTGCTGTTGACCTCCACACAGACTTGAGAGTAGTGAAAGCTTGTCTTGCTTTTCCGATTCTTGCTTTGATATCCTCGTCAGTTCCGCCTGTAGTTGAGACGATGCTTCCCAGGTAGGTAAAAGAGGTTGTTTCTTTCAGGTTCCTTCCATTTATGCTGATCGTTGTCTGTTGTTATTGTTCTTGTCCAGGAATCTTCATCACCTCTGTTTTCTCTATGTTCACCTGAAGTCCTATCTTTGATGCTTCTTCTGCTAACTTGTTGCCTTTTGCTTGCATATCTTCTAGTTTGTGGGAAATCAGACATATATCATCGGCGAAGTCCAGATCCTCCAAGTATTTTGTGTGAGTCCATTTTATGCCTGTTTCCTCGCTGGCCGCTCTCTGTTGCATTATCCAATCTAGCGCAATCAGGAAAATCATTGATGACAGTAGGCAGCCAGCCACCCTTATCTTACTCTCGTCTTCAATTCGAAGGATTCCGTAAGTTTCCCGTTGTGGATTACTTGGCATGCAGCATTGTCGTACAGCTGTTGGATGAGATGCATAATTGTCGGTGGCACCCCGTAGTAGCGAAGTAGTTTCCAAATCACCTCTCCATGGACGCTGCCGAAGGCCTTTTCAAAGTCGATGAAGTTGAGATAGAGAGGTGACTGCCATTCCAAGCTTTGTTCAATGATGATCCGTAATGTGGCGATTTGATCAATGCATGACTTGTTTCTTCTGAATCCAGCCTGTTTCGGTCGAAGTTTTTCATCCAGGGCTTGTTTGATTTTCTCCACATGCACACCGAGTTGCTTAAGTGCATATATTAAAAAAAAATTGACATTGTCGAGCTTCGCATGGTGACATATATCACTGATTCATTGATTGACATTAATCAGTACTTCTTGTAACGCAGATTGTAGCAATTTAAACATTAGAAAAGTGATTTGAAATTTGAAATTCAATTAATTAATTAATTAATTAATTTCAGTCTTACTAATTGTATTATTTTGTCTCTTGCATTTTATTATTTCACATCTTCACTTATATTATTCTCTACCCCACCCTTTTGTAATCTCTCCCCTCATTAACAATGTTACTAACTTGACCCACGTCCAATTTCTAGTCAACTGAGTTACGTCATCCGATTAACTTACTTATTTTCAACTGTATTATTCTCTAACCCCACCCTTACTTGATTTTAAACACCACTCATTAACACTGTTTCCAACCTGACCTCATCTGAGTTCTACTCACTTAATCAATTCTATTTGATTTGAAATGTCTCGATAGTCTTTCAGTTGAGTTAGACGGTAAAGTACCGCTGATGAGCTGTAACGGAAACGAGAGATACAGCTATCCGGTGTTCAGAGATATTTTTGATCCGCCTAGAAACCACCTCAGATTGATTCGAGTGACTTTCGACTACTCATAACAATCTTTAAGTAGTAAGTGCCATTATATATACAATTGTGTTTGATTTCTTGATTGTCATTTTAATAGTGTCACATACATCTTGAGTATTGTTTTCGCTCAATACTACTCAAGATCATATGGCCGGTCAGAAAATGTCAGCAACAGGGATCTCTAGGAACGAACAAATTGTGTTACGAATGTGCAGGAAGAAATGGAAGTGGATTGACCATCCGCTGAGAAAATAAACCATCAAGTGAATGACATCACACACCAGGCCATTGCTCAAGTGGAGCCCTACCGGATGGGAAGCGGCGAGTTGGTTGTCATTGCTAGGGTGACATGGAGGAGGAGGTCATGCGGAGAGATGAAAGCGTGTGGGCAGACGTGGAGCCAGGTGAAGACGATGGCGGAGAACCGGACGCAATGGAGAAGTGCGGTTGAAGCCCTTTGTTCCCCTAGGAACTAAAGGAAGCAATAATAATAATGATAGACCACCAATATTGTAATTTGAAAAGAAATTGTGTAAATTCCAAATAAGGAATTTGATTCCACTATTGAAGTTGTTTTGAAAACATCTTGAACTGATATACTCTTTCAAGTATTGACATTTTTTGTGAGGATTTTGTTTGATTAGTTGGAGGATTTCATCATGATAAGCTGACATCAGTTAGAGAACCATTGGAAAACCACTGGTCCCAGTGCTTCAATGGTCTATGAGATCACTCGGCTTGTAACCAGAAGGTCCTGGGTTCGAACCCCGTAGCGTGGGTGCGTACTAATGAAGAGTCCCAGAGTAGGGAGTAGGAAGCAACTGCCAAGTGCTTCCAGGTCTTCCAATGGTTCTCTAATTGATGTTAGATATAGTCTTTGCTCACAAATAACATCAGTCCAGTTGACAGCAGTAATATAAGGGGGAAAATTTTAACA